ATAAAGATAATAGTCTGAAGATGGGATGTAAAGCCCCAAAAGGTTACATAAAATAAATAAAAGAAATTTTGGGAAAGAAAAGCTATCAGATTTTCATATACCTCATAAAAGCATGATATCTCAATCCCAAAACCTTTCTTCACCTTCCTCTAAAAGAGTATAGATCTGAAACAATATGTGCAACAGCTATTTTAGTGTCACCCCTCTCACTGTTTTCTCACAAACTCAACCCTTACACCTGATTGCTATGCTTAGAACAGAGTGCAACAGTATGGTACATCGAGATTTCTTAAATCTCATTGAATCATACTCTTGCATTAACAATAATAAATCAGCTTTTTAATAATTAAGTGAATAAATTATCATGTAATAGAATGAAGGAAAACATTATAACTTTAAATGCATCACTCGAAGAATCAAATAAAAAGGAAAGGTAAATCGAAAATAGTATGTTGAAAGACCATTGGCCGACACAGGTAAGCTGTAGATGAACTATTTTTTGCTGCATAAATGAAATATTTTATGTTTGTTGCATATTAAAATGCCTGTATGTACTGCACAATGTTCTACAATGTAGTTATATGTGTTTAATAAGTGTTATATAGCATCTTGAAAGTAGTTAGTTGTAAAATTGATTTTGCTATTGTTCCATTTTACAATGTTTACATTACTCATACATAGAAATAATAATAAATACATTTTAAGTTTGTCCATTTAAAGTAAAGGTTGTTGAAATGTAAAATGTATGAGGCAATAGAAATAGAAAATGACAAAAAAAAAATTGTTTTTATATTCCAACCTTTACTTTGAATACACTTAGAAATAACTCCTCACTTAACATCACTAATTTAGGAATAACACAGATTAGTATCATCTTAATACGTAGATAAATAGTTAAACATAGTGTTAAACTATTAGTGATTCATAAATCTTGATTAAACGTTAATCATGAGAGAATGGACCAAAGAATTTTTTTTAAATACACCACATTTTTTAAAAAGTAAAAATAAAATATTAAATCATATAAATAGTATTTAAACAAAAAATATCTCTTCAGTCTGTTCTCTTTTTTTACTCTCTTAAAATTGGTGATTTTAAATGTTCATAAGGATTAGTTTTACCTTATCAAGAGACTTTTATTTTAACATTGAAAATTGAAAGCAACTTTTAAAATTGAAAATTACTTAACCCATTTTACCATTCTCAAAATGGCCCCGGTTCGAATCCGGCCTGGGTGGATTGAAATTTATTTTGTGGCAGGTCCATGAATAGCTATTGAGGCAGTTCAGATGTTTATAAAGTTTTGTAATATTTTAAGGTTTAAAAGTTTCAAATCCTATGATTATTTAATTATTAGATCGCAATTAAATGTTGAATTTCAAACCAAATTAGAATTTATTTTGGCATATAAAGAAATAGTTAAAATAAAAGTCTCTTATTTTATATTATAGTATAAAACCAGTGCCGGCCTAAAGGTGGAGCAACCGGGGCAATTGCTCCAGGCAGCCGACCAGGGAGGGTGTCCGTTGAGGATACTGGCCGATCTTTAGAGGCATTTGCCACTTATTAGAAATAAAAATAATATAAAACAAATTAAAATAATTAATTTTAGCCTGTCAATGAAGTAATTGTATTAGAGTAGTATTGAATGAAATAAAATTCAAAGATTATATTATATAATACAGCTTTAAGAGATAAATTTAAATTTTTTAGGGAGAGAGATGATGTCATTGCCCGGGGGCGCTGCATGTCTAAGGCCGGCACTGTATAAAACTAAATATATTATGCTATAATCATAATTAATCCAAACATATATTTTATATAAGTTAGAATCCTCAGCAGATATCTAATAGGAATTAATAGAATACTATCAATACAATCTATTTAAACAATAAAAAACTTCGAAGTCACTCAACAGCTTTATTCTTCTGCAGATCATTAGAAAAAGACATTGGCACCCCAACATATTTGAAGAAGAAGTAAATAGGAAACACTAGAAGAAATGTTTGCATAAAAAGTTATCCTGCGATGGTTAGGAATGGAACCCAAAGTTCAGAAAATAGCTGGTCCAAAATAACTTGAATGAACTAAGTTTCAAAAAGGGCAGCAATGGTAATAACATGGCTTCAGAGAAAATAAAGAAATGAGTAAAAACTTGAAAAAGTGGCAAGATTTTATAATTGTAACACGAAGGAAAATTTTCCAATATGGTTATTCATTACTTTCCTCCATGATTCTTCTTTTATTTAAGAACAAACCTATATTTTGCATCAACCATTTGCTATACACGTTATTACTACGAATAACAACAAAATAAAAAATTTACTGAGCTCCGAATATTGAAGAAAACAAATGAGAAGAGAAAGTTGATGATTTGAAATACTTGTGGAATTATACTATATTTTAATAAAACAATTATAGAAATGCATACAGAAGCATAAAAAAATCTGTAATAAGATAGTTTATTGTAGGGATAAATAATATCTAAAATTTAGAAAAATTAAATAAATAACTGAAACTGTCCCATCCTTCTGGCATTTGAAGCTACCTGGCCTTAACAAACCAGTATTGCTTTGTATCTTAACTCTATTCTCTTTTCAGGTATTTGGATGATTAACAATTATAAGAATAAAATATTCAACCACATGAGTTATTTGTGAAGAACAGACAGAAATCGGATACTAATGCATGACACTATCATGTTTTGATTCCACATATATGGAAAATCGAACCTTTCTTCAACAATACGTGTGGAGATTTTAAAGAAATGAATGAGAAAAATACTTATTAAACAACCATGTTGGGAAAAGTGAAATTGAGTCTCATGTAGACAAGTTCAGTAAGGGTTTAAAAGGCTTATTTTAAATACCTATTTTGACATAGGAAAATTTCAGTTTTGAAAGAAAGTAAATAACTTTTACACTTAGTTTTCAATGAAGAATTTTAATTCTTCAAAAAATAATTTATTATGAACTGTGTATATACCAATGTTTGATAGAATGGTTCTTAACTTTGAATTTCAAATCTGAGAAGTGATCTGACTAGGATGATGCTTAACCACCAGATTTTTTCCTTGATCAACAGAGGCTGAGTGTGCCACTGAAGGTTTTCCTGCCTTACAGATAATTAACTACATGAAAGAAATAATAGCTAATATAAAAAAATAAGTAACATCTATCTACCACAACCAAATAATCCAACACAAGGAACAAAAATTCAGTGTCTTGGCCCTCAGATGTTCCACATCCTTTCCTGTGATTAAACTTGAAGTTACAAACTCTTTAGATTATCTTATGTACCAATAGGATTTCTTTAACACAGAATCTTCCAATAAGCCAAGAAAATTTTCAATCAATACTACTGGTAATTTATAGTGTGCTTTTTTACATATCCCCTGCTGTGCTCAATCAAAAATTTGCTTAATTGAAATTGTTATAAACTGATTGAGGTTAAAGTTATGTGAATGTGTATACCCGGAACATTGACATGAGATGCCCTAGCAAGACAGGGAGGAGAAATGATGCTAATTTACCCTATGACAAACCACATCAAATCAAATAGCTTTGCCTGGAATGAAACTGAAAATTTGAACGGGTTTCAAATCTAGTTAGAAACAATTCAAATTTTTTATCAAATCGTCAAAGGAAAAGGCTAAATTTTATATCAACCAAATACATCTTGTATTCTAGATCTATTTTGAACCTAGACACTACAGAAAGTTTTGAACATACTAAAAAATACTGAATAATGGTTGTGCTAAGTTTTGAAAACGTTTAGCTAACAGGTGATACACTTTTTAAAACAAAGCATCAGTAATGGCTCATTATTCTACAAACTTAACTTTTAGGTTGACAAGATAAATCGGAGTTCATCTATAAAATAGGTATTATTTGTATTGATAATGTTCAGTAAGTGCTCAGTAGAAAATCTCAAAAAAATTATTGATATTATTCTATTCAAAACCAATTTGAAAAATGTTTAGCTTAGACGTCAATTAAGAGTGAACATATAGTTTAAATAGTTGAAATAAACAGAAATGAGAATCTAAACCATAAAATATTGAAATTGATTTCTTTAGATATCTGGTGAGAAATTAGGCATAGTTGACATATATATATAGAGATATGTGAAATTCTATTCACGAGGAGTATAGTTTTCAAATTTCTTTTATACTTAAAAAAAAAAAAATTTCTTTTTATTGCTTTACATATTTTTTCTTAAAAGGAAAAAACAAATCTTGAAAATCATAACAATGATTGCAATTTTGCACCTATCGCTCATCAATCTGAACAGTATCAAATAAAAATTGAGATTTGTTGGAATTCTGTAAATGAATTTCCATATTCCATATTGATGCTTAAGATATTCATAAAATCATAGCGCATTCTTTTTCAAAACGATTAATTAAACAATTTCAGTTTTTGAGTTGATGCTGTTATGTGATAAATTTACAATCTTTTTGTTTGATAATAAAATGCATTGAATAGGAAATTATCTTGCTTTATTAAAAGGAAGCTTTATTTTTTAATTTGATTTTTTTAAAGGATTGGCATTAATAACTTAAAGTAAAAAGTAATAGGCAATTATCTGCTGATAAAGAATAAATGAAATCATACTTCTATTGTGGTTTAAATCATAATAAACCTTTTAATTATTATGGATGTCAGCTCTAAGTGGTGATTTTAGCATACAATCTTTCTGGATGTTTGTTGATAATTACTTTTTCAAAATTGATGTATGTCTATATTTATTAATTTTACATATTTTTAAGTTCTGATTTAATCTGAATAACAAATTATATCTGCCTTAAAAACCCTTTAAAAACTTAAATATTTGTTTCTAAAAAAAAATCTTATTTAGTACCTCTAAAATTGGCATCCAAAGAACTTACAACAATGGAAATATAATTTCTTTTATTACAATTACAATTAGATAGGATTATTGAGTTATACTATTTTATTACTATAGAAAATATAGCTTGATTATCTTTGTCATTACAGGAATACAGTGTACAGCTAACATTTCGAGAACAGTGGACAGATGAAAGGCTCAAATTCAATGACTTTGGAGGTAAAATGAGAATAACATTGTTGATATAATATAAAATTTATAAAAATAAACTGAAATAAGATCTTATTTTATAATTACAAGAAAACAATTCATGTTTACAACTTCATTACTGTTTAATATTTTTTTGAAACAAGTTTTTAAGACTATTTGGTCATTTTCGAGTTCAAGATCTTCTTTATATTAGTCCTTGGCTATGAGTTAATATAAATTATCTCAAAATCATAATATCCTTGAAATTATTAAATAATATATATAAGTAAATACCATTGGAAAAAATAATACTGTGTTGTAACAAACAAAACCTTGATTAAATTAGTTTATTTTTCAGGTAAAATTAAATACCTGACATTGACAGAATCTAACAGGGTATGGATGCCAGATTTGTTCTTTTCTAATGAGAAGGAAGGACATTTTCATAACATCATAATGCCAAATGTATACATCAGAATATTTCCTCATGGGGCTGTACTTTATAGTATAAGGTAATGATTCATATTTTTCTGTGAAAAAATTTAAATAATTACAGGTACATATAACATTTAACTGATTGTACTATTTATCATAAATAAACAAAAAATATAATTTCGACTTTTTTCATTTACAGAATTTCGCTCACCCTTTCTTGTCCTATGAACCTGAAACTTTATCCACTGGATCGCCAAGTTTGCTCACTTCGTATGGCGAGTTGTAAGTACTTAATTTATGAATTTTAATGGGATTGGATTAATTTAATTTGGTGGGTGTTCGCCCGAATTGGGTGACAATCCACTAGGAAAAGCCATATACATATAGTGAGATCCATAAGCCTACTAGAGGTTACTCAAACTGACTGGGAGTAGGACTTATGACCCTATCCCATTAACTTAAATTGGGAATCGGGGTATTTTTTTTTTTTGTCCTCCCCTTCCTCGCCTTTAAGGCTATACAGCGTTTTCCTGGACCAGGGAGTGTGGGCGGGATTTAAAAACTCCTCCGGGCACCGGGACGCGAACTCGTGACTATTTTTTTATCAAAGTCTTATGTATCAGGTTGCCGGGCAACGGCGGTGCAGTGCACACGCGTTAGCCCATTCGGCCACCCCGCCCACAAGGGAATCGGGGTATGGTTTTCCAAGATGACATTAGCCCTCCTGAGGTTTTGTTCATAGACAGTTTGTTTCACAGAAAGAAATATAGATCCTCGAGTACCTGCTTACTCTGAACAGCCTTAATCCATGAATATTGACTGATTTGTCACTATCTTTAAAAACGAGAGAATCAATGGGAAGGATACTGCTATATAGGCATAAAAGGGATCGGCTATGGAGCTATAGATGGCCTGCCATGTCTGTATGAACCATGGTTCATAGCAGCATGAGCTTGAGCGACTCCCTCCAGGTTATCTATGCTCCCGCAAGCTATATACGTCAGTAACGAGACCATCTTGTGACCGAAAATCTATATGGTATATAGCAACAACAGAAAAAAATAGTAAATATATATATATATATATATATATATTTTAATATACACCTTAATTGAAAGTTGTTAAAAATAGTTTAATAAATCAATGTAACAGTTAAAATGCAAGCTAATCTAGTTCTAACAGTTGAAGGAAAAGAAAATGAAAATAGCTGCTCTGTAATTTCCCCAAAAAAGAAAATCCCAAAGAGATAATGGGACAAAGAATTTTGTTTTTCCAAGCAGTTGTTGTGTGGCTGCAGTAAAGAGAGGATATCAGAAGTGATCCTGGCTCCAGTGGGTAAAACCCCGAAATAGTATTACCATTTTGGAAGTTGTTGTTTGGCAGAGAGACAAGTTGTTTGGAATAACAAGAGAGAGGATATTTCAGCAAGTTTGAGTTGAGTGGATGATAGTGTTACCATTTTGGAAGATGTGTTTGGCAGAACATAGGAAAAGTTAAAAGACAAATGAATTTAGTGCAACAAAGGAAAAAACGAGTATCTATAGAAAAAAAGTTAGCTTGCCAATCCATACTTGACTTTATTTTAAAATCAAACAGTGTTTAGTATAGTTAATATTAGTTTGTCTGAGTGTTTTGATCTGATTGACAGTAACCCACACCTGAGATAAATAAATATATTAATACTCTTATAATTTTGTTTATTATTTAATAATCTTCTATTTATTTAGAAAGTATCCCAACGGTATAAAGCGAACTTCGATGAGGTCATTATTATTAGTAAAATATAAGAGAGATATTACATTTTATATTTACTATAACATATTTTCTTCATTTGGAGGCCGGGATAACAGTGTGTGCAATAGGTAATCAAAGTTAAGCAACCTCGAGCATAGTTAGTACTTGGATAGGTGACCATCCACTAAAAAAAAAAAAAAAAAAAAAAACACTGTCTGAGAATCACCCCTCCTCGGGTATGTGAGATCAGTCAGGCTACTGGAGGCAGCTCAGACCACAGGGAGATAAGTGACCTCTGTGTCTGACATAGTTCCTGGTCCTTCAGGTTGGGGGTTGGGCATAGGGCTAATAACCCAATCCCATAATAAACACAATATTACGAAACCAAAAATCAGCCTCGGAAAATCTATCAACGTGGTAACGACCCCGGCTTTGTTTAACGGATTCCATATCAGATCATGGAATGGTCGGAGTTCATACAGACCTGGACCGTCCAAATGGTAGTAAATGAAGTAAAAAGGTGCACCATACCGTTAACAGCCATACAAGAAGTAAGGTGGCCAGATGGGGGTAAAACCACTATAGATGGCCACATACAGTTCTACACAGGGAGAAACGACAAAAATGAGACAGCTGGCACTGGATTGATAGTTAGTCTGGCCGTGAGAAAGTAAGTAATGAACTTCACTACAGTTAATGAAAGGATAAGTGTCCTGCGTGTAAGAGACAATCAGTCAGTTCCCAAAATGTTAGTGAGGTTGACAAAGGCTTGTACAAATGATCCTAAATGCAGAGTACTCTCGCCAATGCTGTTGACTTAGCCCTTCAGAAAGTAATAAGAACATCACACAAAGATAGAGGGGTGCACCTCGGAATGAAACATAAAATCCTTACATATGATATAACTGTCCTCGGAAGCAATCAAGAGGATATTGAGAGACTCACTCAGACTCTGTTAAGAGAAGCAGAGTAAATCAGTCTACAAGCCAATGAAGATAAAACAAAATGTATGGTAGTTAGCCGAAAAATCAACTCTAATAGCATGATCTGCGTGGACTCCAAGTCATTCCCGAAGGTAGATAGTTTCAAATACCTTGACTCCACAATTATCTCAATGAATGATCAACTAACAGAGATACACCAGTGAATAACAAGTGCGAACAGAGATTTATTCTCTCTTTCAAAGGTACTGAAATCCAAAAAAATCTCTAGAAATCTCAAACTAAGGGTGTACAATGCCATGATAAAGCCAGTTCTGCAGTATGGCTGTGAGACCTGTGCTCTAACCGGTACCCTAGAAAGCAGAATTGAAAGATTCGAAAGAAAAGTCCTCCGTACGATAACAGATCCTATCTGGGATCAAAAACTTAACACTTGGAGGAGAAGGAACAATAAAGAACTACCAAATGAAACTTTTTAGTCTATCATCTCAGTCATTTCAGTCATATCTCATGATATGAAGGCAAGCAGGTTAAGATGGGCGGGGCATGTAGCTCGAAGCAATCCATCAGGATGCCTTTACACAACAATGAATGCAAGAGTAGTAGGCAAAAGACCACATGGGAGGCCAAAAACCAGATGGATAGATAGGATAAACAAAGATACGGCTGAGCTATATGCTGCAAACTGGAAAGCAGTAGTCCAAGATAGACAGAGATGTAGAAGGCTGGTTCAGGCAGCCAAAAATGTACAAGGTCTGTAGAGCCAAACAAAAAAAAAAATATATATATATATATATATATATATATATATATATATATATTTTTTTTTTTTTTTTTGTTTGGCTCTACAGACCTTGTACATTTTTGGCTGCCTGAACCAGCCTTCTACATCTATATATATATATATTGTAATGTCAACATTACATGGCATTTGGATAGTGGCGCAAAGGTGGTGATGGCGCGAACTTCGGGAAGAAAGTGGGGGAAACAAGCTTCATGTAAGGCAGAAAAGAGACTGCGACGGGCCGCCAAGAGGGAAGATGCTAGCGGCTAAGAGAGAAGATCATGAGCCGTCAAGGGAAGGAGACAAGCGGCCAAGGGGGAAGGTGCCAGCCAGCAAGTGGAGAAATTAGGAAAAGGAGTCTTAGCCGGTTCGAGTGTTGACAGAGGCCACTAAGGAAGATTATTTTATGTTGGAAGAAAGAATATAGCAGAAATTAATTAAGTGGTACAGAAACATTAAGTGGACAATCGTAAGTAAGAAGAGATTATTTCGCTGGCAGGCGTCAACATTTGGGTGAGTGCTAACAATACCATTTATGTTGACAAAGGGATAGAACCAAAAGTTTAGACCGGGACAAATTATTTAATAAAATATTTTAAATTATAAATAAGTGTAGTAGTAATTAATGAATTAGTATACATTGTCTTTATAAATAGGAATGAGTGTTCAGGTGTCAGAACCCAACCTTGAGATTATGTTATATGTGTAAAATAAATAAGATATTCAAAAAGGAAACTCGTTTGTTTGTTTTTGTTCCTTTTGAAAACGTTACAATATATATATATATATATATATATATATATATATATATATATATATATATATATATATATTATATATATATATATATATATATAATATATATATATATATTTATATGCATTTCTTCATTTACAGTAAACATTAATAGTATTCGTATATACAGCTGAATCTTTTCTACTTTTTGTAACCTTTTTCTGAACATACTTAGAAGCTCTTGCTGCATGTCCTGTTAATTACTTTCAAGAATCCAACCACTTCAAGTCAGTTTGTCTCAATAGTATAATAAGGAAGCACCTTATAGTCCTTGCAGTGTTGAATAGCACAGCTTTCTGGACTTCATTTATAATGGTTGGTGAAAGACTCTACTTGTCAGTGCCTTTCACTGCTGATAATATTATTATTATTTCACCTCCATTAAATATTTCAAATAATCTGATAATTATTCTCACAGGCTTTAAATAAAAAAAAATCTTAAAATTAATAATAATTACAGATGGTTGGACAACAGATGACTTAGTATTTCTCTGGAAAGATGGAGATCCGGTGCAAGTTGTGAAAAATCTTCATTTACCAAGATTCACATTAGAAAAGTTCCTGACTGATTATTGTAACAGTAAAACAAATACTGGTAAGCTATTATAATTTATTTTCTGTTACAATGTAATAAAACAAAATGAAGTGATCATGATCAAAGAACTAATTTATGAAATTAAAGTAATTACTATTTAAACTTGACATACGTCATTTAAAAAAAAAAAATCAAATATTGCTTCTTTTCTAGTATCTGTTCCATAATGACTATTTAAGGGCAGTATTTGATGACATTATATATTCTTGTTCCTGCAACTTACCAAATAAAACACATCCATACCTCACATTATAATATTATTGGAAGATTCCACCAAAAAATGCTTAAAGTATTTCAAGTTTAAGTAAGTTAGTATCTTGTCAAAGTTTTACAATTCAAGAATCATTAGGGCAGGAAGAGTATGGGCATGTGTTAAGTATGTCTTTGGTGAGCATTTTTAGTCTGTTAATATGGGATGTGCTGTCTCTGGTTAGCATTAATGTGATCTAGCCTCCCAACCAAAATGTTGGTCAATTAGTTAATTAATATAAAAAAACTAAAGGTTTAATTTTAAAATCTTTCAATTACATGTTTTGTCCAAAAAAAAAAAAATATTATTTTTAAATGTCCCACATTCATTAACATCAAATCTAATCTCTTTAACTATAGTTATATGCTCATAAATAATTTGTAATTTAATAGATTTATTTTTAATAAATAAATTTAACCATTAGTCTAATCCAAAGTCTGATGATAAACTTTATATCTTCTATACATAGAGCGGATAAAAGCTTATTTCAGGAATTTTCCTTACAGCACAGAAATATGGCACTCTTCTTATAGAGTTTTTTAAAATATTGTTAATATATCTACAACACATTAGATGAGACGTATCTCATAAAGTTGAGATTCATTGTCAGAAGATTTACTATATTTAAATTAATTAATAAATCACTTAAATATATTTTGGAAGAAAAAGAAGATACCAAATATTCAATAATGATAGGAAGTAGTAGACAAAAAAAAAAAAATAATAACAGAACCCGCATTTAGAAAAATAAGGAATGAAAAAACAGTTTAAAACATAGATGATTGCATTTTAGAGGATGAAATAAAATAAAGCCTTTGATTCTAAACCTGTAAAGAAATTTGGGATGCAATATGAATAAAATCCTGTCTAATCTGACAGAGACTACTAAGTCAGTCTACCAAGAAACCAAGGGAGTAGATCTGCTTCACTAACTATATCTATATGCTTCAATTGAAGCGATTACATAAGCTGTATGCATAACATAGTCATTAGGGATGAATTTAAGTATTTTGATTCAATGAAAGAAATAGTATTTCATGAAAGAAAACTTGAAGAATATAAACTAAAATGGTGTGGACATGTATGGAGAATGCCAGACACCTGGAATACCAAATGTTATATGAAGGTAAAACCAAAATGATGAAGACATGTGAAACAACCGAGGCCTACTATGGAGAACAACTGGAAGGATTAGGAAAAATAAGTGTAAGACATAGGGTCAGAGATCAGCTTAATTCTAAAGAAAAAGAGATAGAAAAAGAAATATTGAGCATTCTAGAGAACTTTATATGGAGAACAAGCTAAAGCTCTAAGAAATTTACATTCGAAGTTTTCAATGAACTATTATTCCTGTAACAGTTTTTTAATCCCTTCACTAACCTCATTAATATCTGGTAAGTGATCCTCTGTGAATCCAATAATTATGAATCTCAATTTAATAATACATCATACACAGTAATCTCCAGCTTCAATTAATCATATTTATAAGTGATGATTGTGGCTTCTGGATTAGCCTATGAGATCTCCTGACATGCATTCCATCAAACATTGGTTCTTTTCATTGTTAGATACAAAGGATAGGTAACAATTTTCAAAGGTGCCTTGGTACTCAATGAAAGAAATTCCTTAAAGTAAAACAGTTCAAAATCATCTAAATAGGCAATACACAATTAGTTTTTCCTAAAAATTGGCTCCCCAGAAGTGGCACTTTATATCAACGATGTTACACATTTTTACAATTTTCTCATAAATGGCTCTAACAATTTTGATTAAACTCGATGAATCATAGTATAATTAAGTGGTCTTATACCCATTGATGTCACTTTATTGGCTTAAATGCCCCATGTTCAACATGTCTTCCTGTAAAGTACTTTTAATTTGGTTTATTTTAAACAATTAACTATCTCTCATTGTTATGAGTTGCAGAAAATGCTAAATATAACTTTTGAAAGAATTTGATTATTGAATAAAGGAGAAAAAAAATAGGAAAATGCTTATCCAGGTCAAAAATGAATCTCCAGAAATACTAGTTAGTAGGTATATGTATAATGTATCTTTGGAAAGCGGAGAATTTTAGAGAAAAAAAAACAATATCTAATATAGAAAGTTGTAGAAGGTAATAGAGAGTGACGAAAAATTATAAATAATAAGTTTTGAAAACTAATATTATTTAATGGAAATCACATGTTTTCATGGAAATCAAATGAAATATACTAACTAAATGTAAACTTTTAAAATAATTTTTAAGTTTGAAAAAAATAATTTAAAATCCACCTAATCAAGACAATCACATTGTTTAAAAAACAATTGTACTGTACTTGTGTGAAAGAAGAAGTGAAATATAAAAATATTTCATGGATATGTTTATAACCTTAAATCAATTTACTATAGTTTAATAACTCTAGATCTGATATTAGATTTAAATAATTAGGTATCTATCGACCCTTTATTCTGAAAAATCATCTTGTAACCTTTTTAAAAAATTAAATTAGTGAATAATTTGATGGACTTTCCCTTTGTAATATCCCAACAGTATCTGCTTACAATTAGTGTAACAACTTTTGACATAGCACCAGATTTTCTTTTTTCATATTGCTAGATTGGAAAAAATCGAGCACAAATGAAAATTTTATTTTTTCAAATTTTGAGTGATTAAAATCATATTGTTGATTTTAATTATTCTTCTTTTCTTCACTGCTTATGCCTCTCAGTGTATAGGTGTACCCAGTTATCACAACCAGCCATCCTGGTCTCTCCCAAGTGCCCTCATCTCTCCTCTTGACCATCCTAGCTTGGATATGAGGTCTTGATAAGACAGTCGAGATCTATCCTTGGGTCTTTTACCTGTTGGTTGTGCTTGATAGAAGTTTCTGGGTTCTCTATATTCTCACATTTTGCAGATATGACCATAGCACTTCCCCCAGCCACGTCCCAGTGGCTCAATGTCTAACTCTTCCCTAATTCTGTCATTTCGTATGCAATCTTATTAAGTTTTTCCTGCCACTCTTCAGAACTATCTCATGAGTATAATCACAAAATTGGAAAAATCCTTAAGTTTTTAGTTGTGTTGATTTTATTCTAAAGTTACGATAAATAATATATATATATATCATTGTATCAACAGTTACAAAGATACCGGCCTATTAAAACTTGCCTGGTCGCAATCTTATCCCAAGCAAGCAATATAATAATCACATTGTTTTTGTACAATGAAATATAATTGATGCTTAAAAACAAGATATTTTTTTTAAATTTATGTCAATGATTTATTCTCGTTTCAGGTGAATACAGTTGCCTAAAAGTGGACCTCCTATTCAAGAGAGAATTTTCATATTACCTGATACAAATTTACATTCCGTGCTGTATGCTTGTGATTGTGTCCTGGGTGTCGTTTTGGCTCGATCAAAGTGCAGTTCCCGCACGTGTCTCACTGGGAGTGACAACTCTTTTAACTATGGCTACACAGACATCTGGAATCAATGCTTCATTGCCTCCAGTTTCATATACAAAAGCAATCGATGTATGGACAGGAGTTTGTCTTACGTTTGTGTTTGGGGCATTGCTGGAATTTGCTCTAGTGAATTATGCATCTCGTTCTGATATGCACCGAGATAACATGCAAAAGCAAAGGCGGCAATGTGAACTGGAACATGGAGCACAAATTGAATCAGACCTTCTTGAAGATGGTGGAACGACTTTCGCCATGGTAACTAAAACAATCTTAGTGCATTTTATGTTCCATTAATATTATATGGCCAATAATAATATTAAATGGCTGTTAGTTGAAAGGAAAATTAAATTTAATAGATTGAAACAAAAAATTAAAACACACTGCTGTTGATTAATATAAGATTTATGTCAGAATTGAAGACTAAAATGTATTTGGTAGTAAATATATATATATATATATATATATATATATGTACATTTGTAACTATGTATTTGGGTGATTTTAAAACTATTCTATTCTATTGACTTCAGCAGACAAAATTTTGAATTTTTAGTTATAAAATTATATTGATCTCCAGGAATTCTGTATGTGTTTGAAAATATTCCTTTTAAAAATAGTCATAAATAGAAATGTTGTAAGGCTTACAATTTTAAATATTATCCTTAACCATGATAAATACCTTACCGTGGTTGTTATGTTAACAAGCATATGTTGAAGACGTACGTAGCACATGTATTCAGTGAACATATGACCAAGCATAATATAGATAGAACATTTTCAGCTAAGCAATAATTGTGTAATTGCCAAAAAAAAAAGGTTAAGTAAACTTTTTTTTGGTAGATGACTAATGATTTTATTTTCAAATTGACATACAATTGTGATGATTGTTAAATAATAGGAAATTGTTTTGATCTATTATCGAGTATTAGGAATTTTTAAATGGGAATAAAAGACCAATGGGTTTTAAATGGGAATATAAGACCAAAATTTCAAAACATTAATAATAAAATATAAATAAAAAATTGGATGATCTTGTTTGCTGAACTTTCTATTTATATATATTATTCAATATTAGGCTCATTTAAATAAGCCTCCACTTTTACTGTTTGGCTGAAAATGTTAAGAACATTGGGATTGGTTAAGAAGGAATCTCCATGGAATTTATTATTTGCCTTTAATTTATAAATCACCCATATACATTTATGATTATTTAAAAAAGAAAAAATATTGGAAATTAGTAATTCTTAAAGAAATGTTTCTAATGAATGAATTAAAATGTTTTCCTTTCAGAACAAAATGAAATATTACTTTAAAACAAAAATAATAATAAAAACTAAGTTCATTATTAGTTATCAATAAACTCATGATTATTTGGTGTAATCTTAAAAATTAGTTTCATCTACCATAAATCCCATTTTTATCAATTAAGATTAAAGTTCATTTTTTCAATTTTTAAAAGTCATTAAAAATTCATTTAGACACCAATAATTTCATGATAGTAAATGTAAACAAACAGTATTTATTTTATGTTGTTATTGAAGCCTATTAAAATTTAAATAATATCGCTAAGCAAGATAGTAGAAATTCAGCATGAATGAGATTAGGCCTGGAATTTTCAGAAACCCCTGGTAAGAAGGCCTGGAGAACCACTAGCAAGGGACAAAATAAGGCAGTGTGAGATACACATGCAGCAGCCACAGCGTCCGAACTGCTGTAAGACCTGGCTCTCCAAGTTTCCTACCCGATCTAAGAGAATAGATGTCATCTCTCGGATAACCTTCCCACTCGTATTTGCGCTGTTCAATCTCACCTACTGGTCTACATACCTCTTCAGAGAAGACTCCGACGGTGAATAAACCTTCGATCAGTTCTGTTATACAAAAACCCTGGGATTTATAAGAATTTAATTTCTTCTTAATGTACATGTTTAATAAAAAGGTAATAGCTTTATTAAAACAGTAATAAGTGTACAAATGCTAGCTGCTATATTAGTATCTGTTATAGTAGTAGCTGCTAGAGTACAAATGCTATCTCTTAATTACTTTTCTTGAAAATAAAAAACACACACACACATATGTACATATACATATTTTTAGTGCAGTCTGCATAACCGAACAAATGATTTTCAGAGACTGTTCAGTTTACCTAAAATTTGAATTAGGGAGAATTCAAAATTATACATATATATTATGCATATAACATATATGTATTTAGTACATACTCAACATCATTTTAGAAGAAAATTATTGAAAATAACATTCATTTAGATGATAAATAAAAATATGATATGACGTGCATATTATTGTTTTGCATTGAAAAAATAAATGAATAAAGTATGTTTTTAAAAGTCCTTAAAACATGTATATATAATTTTAAATAACCATTTGTATAATTGTAAGTGTATGAAAAAAACAAAAATAAAATGTTAAGAAAAAAATTAAATAAATGGAGCTCATTTTTTATTATCATTTGTTGTCAAGTATTGTTTTGAAAAAATGGATTTCATTGATATGAATTCAGATCACCACATGTTTAGATAGCTGACATTGCATTGTATAAATATGAAATATAATAACAGAAGTGATAAACATATGAAATAAACTAACAGCAGTAATAAAAAAACATTCATAAAAACATGAAGTTTTTTTTATTTTAAAATAAAATAAAACTATTGTTTAAACTATTTCGTTAGCCACTCAATAATCAATGTAATTTTCAATATTGTCGTAAATATTATGAAAATTCAAAGACAATATGTGATAATGAAATTGAGGGTTTTTTTAAACATAAAATTGAGAAATTTCAAATTCATTTAATATCATTCAACAGCTAAAATTGTTAAGCTAATTTAATAGCCATTACAAAAATAGCATCTAAAAGAATATTATAATAATAAATAAAATATTAAATTAATGAGCACATAATATTTCTTATGTAATGCATTTATGTATTGTAATTTTTATAGAAAGATGGGCCATAGTATATTATATAAAATAAAATAAAAAATTTAACAAAAAATTTGATTTTGAAAATTAAATTAAATAGTGGAGAAAAGTTTGGAATAATTTAATTGCTGAATGCTAAAATAGATTTTAAGAGACTTTTCCATTAGGCCCAACTTTTGGCAAATTAAAAAAAAATCTAACTTTTTTCTATAAAGTATATTTGAAAACTAAAAAAATTAAAAACTTGCATTTTTTATGGTTATGTGATATAGAAACTTTTTATGTTATTTGGAATTTTGACATTTTAATATACCACAACATTTTAAATAGAAATTTCATAGTTTTTCCTCTACTATAGAAGCCCACTAAGCATGTTCAGATATATTATTTTCATGTATTTTATGTAAATCTGGCTTTATGTTTACAAATGCACTCTTGTGAACTACCTAGTAGTAAACGAATAGTTGTTATTTATAAAAAATGTTGAGGAGATGGGTGAAGCATTCCAAAAAGAGGTAGCTCAAATGATGAAAGATTTGCTGAAAGAAAAGTTCAATAAAAGGGAATATATAAATCAATAAGTAGGTTATTCAAGGGACAGAGTGAGCGGGCAAATGTGGGTGCACAGCACAGTACGTTGCCTGGCAACCTGATAACCAAAGTTATAACTTTGAAGAAATAATCTATAGATTATAAAATATTTACAAGTTCGCGTCCCGGTGCCAAAGGTGGATTTTAACTCTAACATTAATCCCCAATCCTTACCCTTTGATCGGGAAAAACCCCCGTTTACCCTAAAAGGCGATAAAAGGGGGATAAAAAAAAAGGTAGGTTATTCCATAGTTTTCATTAAACCATTGAGAAGTCACTATGAGAACAAAGTTGACTGCACCCTATAATGAATAAATAAATGAATAAAGTTAGTGTATACAGCAAGGACAAGATTTTGAAGATTATTATTCTTATCTGGACCAAAACTATTGTTCGAATAAAAATGGAGTTCAGTGTATTTTATATACACTACTGGGACATTTAGTATATAGAGATATTTGATTGGTGAAAAGTATAAAAAATGACACCTTCTTTTATACATTAAAATACACAAAACTGTTTTATGAGACCTTTCATTTTTTATCAGATTTCCTTTCTTATTTCCTCAAGAAGGACTAATACAAGGAAACAATTTGATTCACTCACTATCAGAAGAACCATCAGGCAAAAACTGAGGAAATTAAGAGATTTGTTTGGTAATGAGTGGTGCATAATTTATATTACTCATATCTGTACAAGTATTAATTTCACTGAAGTTGACATTACATGACTCCTGTAAAAACAATTGGCAAGAACATCAGCTAGTACTATATTGAAAGGTTAATACTCGGAGATGGCCTCTTTTAATATGCAGAACTTAGAAACAGCTAACTTCAGGCTGCTCCCTGTACTCTCATGTCACCTGGAGAAGAGTCCTTTCTGTGCCTAATGAAGGGATGCCTTAATTAGAACCACATAATGAAGATAGATTAAATACACCAAAGCAATGGAGATCAGCCCTCTTAACATTCATAAATTAATGTGTGATTGGTTTTAAAAAAAAAAAAAGAAGAAAGAAAATAGCTGGATAGCAACTAGTCCTTCTCAAGGCTGTTAAACCATCAGTAAATAAAAATGGTTCTGATGGAGTAACTCCTGTTCCATAGAAAGAAAATTTAAAAAAAAAAAAGGAAAGAAAAGAAAAGCTCTACCAGATATAGATATAAATAATAGTAATTCTTTTATTATCAGCTCATAGTTACAAAGTAATAAAAAAAAAAAGACAAAATGCTAACGGTATAATAAATCAACAATCATATATTATAAAATCTAATATAAATGTTCTATATTATATTTCTGATGTTTGGAAAATAATTGTGTGTGTTGTTAGCTAGCACAGAATAACATGGATATTGGTACTGGTTAAGGGGAAAAGGGACAAGGAGGGAGAAAATTAGTCCTTTTTGCCTACCTTTGAAAGCAATATAGAAGTTGCTGTTCCAAACTGACCAGAGCAGGATGTCACTTTTCATTTAATGAGACCACTAGGAATAAATATTAACTGACCCAAGTGGGAATTAAACCCACATCATTCCAAACCAGGCACTCTGAAACCCTCATCACATGCTCATCTATCTATTAAGGCCTCTAACAAATGGATCGATTAAAAATGATTGCTTATTGCGATATAAACTTTATCTTTACGGTGTAATATGAATATTGATAACATATAATTCAATAATTCTTACAAGTGTATTTTCTTCTTCATCAATTCCTATATTGCATATATGGGTAAGTATATCTTATATTATTAAATTTTTTGTATTCCGGAACAGAGTTTTTGTTTTGTTGGACATGTTGTGAATGGTCATGACAGATAGTACATTCTCTCCAGCTATCACAAGGAAGTTTTTTGATATTGTTCTTTCCTTTTAGAAGATTTGTTACTTCAACTGTTTATTAATTGAGCTGTTGTTATACTTACAAATTCATTTGAATCTAAAAATAATGTTTCAGTCAAATTTTGCTACTCTCCAAAAATGTTGGCATCTGTAAGTGTAAATACTGTTAGACTAGTTGTTTTTCATCAGTTATATCATTTGAATTTTACAATATTCATAAATTTGCTAGTATTGAATCTTCAATTTTTAAGTTTTCAAAAAAAATATGACATGTTATTAACATTGGAGTATTCACACCTTACATACTTACACAAAATGATTATAATTAACTAAAAGTTGAAAATTTATAAATTTTTGTTTTTGTTTATTTTCTATTTGATCCAAACCAGCTAATTATGTTATAATTATTAGTAATCATAACATAACTGCTAGCCATACCCATAATTAGGTATATTTTAAGCATTCGCCATAACAATATCTCCTCAGTATATAATATTAGCAATATGTTAAAATGATACAATAATATTTCAATATTATATATCAACAAAATGGTTGATACCTTAATTTTAGTACCTAATTGCAAATACTTTATGGTTATTTTTGCTATAATTTTTTATAACCATTACTATAAAACTTTTAAATTAATGTGTTGTCAGTGTTACTTTTATATCAACAATATGCCATTATATATACAATATATATATAACATATTACTAGTACATATTTGGAAAAGACAAAAACAGTCTACAGGAAAGTAGATGACTAGTATTATGAAATAAAATTTGTATTGTGTTGGAAAATAACTGACATAGACTATAAATAAGATGAATAAAATGTACAACTTAGTTACCCAGATTATCAGATTTTGTACCCAGTCCTAACTATTATTAGTTTTAAAAAAAATCCTGACAAAGTATCGTCATCTGTGAAAGATTTGAGGCACTGAAACTATTAATGTTCAAACAATTTACATATTTAAGACACAAACAAAAATATCAAAAGACCCAAACACAAAACTTTATAGAAAGTGGCTACACCATCCAAAATACACTGATGTTTAATATTAATCGTTTCTCTTAATGGCTGACTTTTATTGCAAATATTGTAACAAGAGACCTATGACCACTATATAATAGAACATTCTGAAATAAACAGAAAAGAAAAAGTTTTGAAATATGTAATGAAATAGTCTAAGTAAACAATAATATTTATTTTTTAATAGAAAAATAAAAAAATCTTTTCTGAAATTTTATTTTCTCACCCTGCACCGATTTCCTTGTACAATTACAATATATACATATAAATATACACATATATAACTTTTCTTAAATTACAATATACTGAAAAGAAAAATCGTTTAATAAAAAAAAAATTGCTGTAAAGTGAAAAAAAAAACATTATAATCTATTAAAATAAAAAATAAAATTTTGAATCAGGATGATTCTCAGGCACTATTTTTTTGTTTTCATTCATTAGGTAAAGAATATTTTTATTAATTTCTCTTTACTATCAGAAAATATTCCAACTTATAAGTCCCAGGTTGTAGTAACATATAAAATGATATTAATAAATATATTTATTTTTACAGTACTTATATTTAAGCACGGAAACTAAGAATGTTTATTAGTTGTTGTAGGTTGATTTCTAGAAGATAGCAATAAAGGGATATCAATCGACAAACGCTTGAAACTAGATAGTCGATACATAAAACTTGTTCAGCATCTTAAACGTTACCCGACAGCCTTAAGGATACAAAAACACATTTATGGTTGTTTCTCAAGCATACATACATTTAAATGACATCAAGAACTTATCTTCTCCAAAACTACTCTTCATTTCCAGTGAGGTAACCTGAATTGGTATTTCCAGCCAATACTCACCATAAAAGAAGTTATTGTTTGTTAATTCCATAATATATAGAACTTATGTGTAATAACATTCCGGCCAAAATTAATCCAAATCTACCCGCACCCTCGCCGATGATCTGTGAATGATACTATCAACGGTTAATTCTTTCCCTTCTAATGTAGCACAATTTTATACTATCCTACTTGCTCGTAGGTTAGCAATAAATATAGTTAGTGAATGGTTTACCAGGGTTCGACTCGGAAGGGTCAAGCATATTCCAAGGGGTTTCCTGCGTGGTTTTCCTCCATCCATGCTAACATGATTCTTTAGACTATTTTTTATTGTAACAGTAATAAATTTTAAGAATAAATCACATTTTATGTTTACAATGAAAATTATAAAATGCTCAATGTTATTTAAAGGTGTATTCATTATATGTACTTTCTCTATTAAGGGTTAAAGTGAATTATGAATCATAGTTATACCAATGACAAATTTTGAAATGAGATTATTTTCATAATAATTAGTAAATAAAATATATCTTAAATTACTTGAATTAAAAATATTTATTAATATAAGAACATTTTAAAAGGTCAATTTAAAATAACTTAGCTTTTATTACATGTTTTAAATTGAATAAAAAAAGGAAAAAAAACTGATTGAAATTTATTTGCATGGCACCGGGGACCACCAGAAAAACTCCAAATGTATGTATCTCATGTGTGTACACTTCATATTGTAAATAATATTTGTGCCGATTGTGAATAATTTAAGACTACAAGGCACTTTTTTTTTTCTCCTAAAAGAATGTAAATATGGTTAAATAAAAATGTAGAATTATTTCACAACCTTTTATCTGATAAATAGTAAAATTAAGCTTTATTTGATTTATGTACACATCATTTTTAGCAATTTATTACACAAACTGTTAATATTTAAAAATTGAATTACTGTAAAAAGTTAAGAGATAGTTACACTGACTGGCATAAAGTTTAGAAATAATATTATTTTAGGGTTGCTTGGATCTTACTTTGGTTTGAAACATACGCAACTATGGATGCGATATTTTGAATGAAAGTAAAGCCACATTTATCTGGCCAAAACTGTAGATAGAATAACAATTAAATTAATTTGGCTGTGCGGAATTAGAATTTTAACACATTTTAGAATGGACTGTCAAGTATATAATAGAAAAATAAAAAAACCTTTTGCACTACAAATTTCATAAACTAATGTTTTTTTTATAACTAATCCGAAATTGAAGCTTAATTTTAAACAATCATTTACTGGTAATAGTATAGTTATACTTATACTATTGTGTGTATGATTGAAATGAGTCTTTTGCTTTCAGATAGGCAGTTTTTGTTTAGGTTTTGATTATGATATTCTGTAAATTTTATTTTCATTAGAAAAAATAAAGATACTGCTTTCATTAGTGCATCTACTACAGCAATGAAGGAGTATCCATTTCTTACCTCTAAAAATGTCCCTTACTTTGTATAGCCCTAAATTCATAGAGCAAGGTATATGATAAAATATTCATTTTATATCCTTTCAAATTCATCAAGAACTTATTTTTATTAATTAAAAATACCGAAAAATACATATCATCCACCTGTACAGATATCCTTGATATTCTTTAAAAGCTATAACTATTTCAATTATTTTATTTCATGATCATTCTTTATCAATTCTAACCTTCATGATTTCTTAGTAATTTGTGTTTCTAATATCTCAAACTGTCTATTATTGCTTTATCTAATTTCTTCTTCAGTTTGGTCTTATCTTATATCACAGAGATAGATTCTTTTCTTCCTCTTCTCTTCTTGTATCGTGGAGAACATAATATTTCCTTGATATTTTTTGGGTTGATTGCTTCATAAACATTTTCTGTAAGTGCAAATGGAGTTCTTAATTACTGTTTGTAACCCTTGAAGAGCCCTATAGCTTATCAAAGTAACCTTAATGGGGGATGCACTAATGGAAACGTACCAAAATAAATTTTATCTAATGTGCCTATTCATAGTAATAATGTGAAAAATAATTTTAAAAAATTATATATATACTTCTCCTAAAAATACTTGGCAAATAGATGAAATTGTTTATTATACGCATCAGCTTAGTATTTAAAAGAGGGCTCATACATGTATGGTGATGGACATAATATTAAACTACATGGTTGTACAAATAGACTTATAGCATGAAACATTTCACTAGATATACATGAAAAAAGACCTATGTTTTACATGCTTTTAAAAATTAGGACATTGTTAGAATACTTGTTAAATGTTTCAAATATATTTTTTAAACAATTTTTTGTTATGATGTATTAGATACTGTTTTTTATAATTTTGAAAAAATATATAAATAAATATATATATGTATGTACAATTAATGTAGGTCCTATGACCTAGTAGAAATGTTTGTTACCATGTACATAGAAGTAGCACTTATTATGTTAATTAACAATGATAATGCTCAATAAGAGGTAACTTTTCCACTTTTTTTTCTTTTTTTTCTTTTTATGATAGATGAACTGGAAAAGTTACTCTGATGGAGTATGTTTATAAAAGAATTATTGTACCAATTATAAATACTCATTAAAAAAAAAAGGAAGAAAAATGAGTATAAGAATGTATTGATATTAATATAAACATGAATATCATATTTGAGGTTATCACCTCTTTCTCTCTGTGCATTCATTACATATTATATTTATATTATAAAACTCTTACTTTTTTATTTCCTGTTTACCAAATAATTAAGATTAAGTTTGATTATGTTGTATTTAAGAAATGATAATTAGATTACCAATATTCAGCTTCATTTTACAATTTGACAATTTTTCAGCTAAACATGAACCATTTTAACTAACAAAGTTTAAATTTTGTCAAATTAACTCAAATGAAAAAAACAAAAACAATAATTACATATAAACTGTCAACATTGACGGCTCATACATTAAGTTTTAATTAGAGATGTTTTTACAGCATTTTTATTATTACCTATCATGTATATAAATTTATATATCTTTTTTTTTCGGTTGGCGCTATAGACCATGTAGACCATTTTTGGCCATGGGTTGTGATGTTCTTTCAGACCTATATATTGCACAGATATCCTGAAGGGTCACCTGACCTCATGATGCCACTCATGAGGTCCACCTAAGCCGGTCCCTTTGAGCTCAATCAGGCAGTGTTCTTCCCACTGAAAATTCATATATATATAAATCTTTACTAATTAATTATGTAATTGATTAATAATTCAAGATGAATTCTTTACGAACCCTGTTAGACTCTTCTTGTTCTTTTACATCACCCTGTAGTGCCTATCAGGATAGGAGAGTGCTACACCAAGATTGCCACTGTTCTCTGTTTCTTGGCATGTTCCTAGTTTGATGGAGAACTTTTCCTCTTCTTTTACAAAAATGGTCAATGTATTCAAGGTAGGACATACGTGGTCTGACTATGAGCCTTCTATCGTCAAGGGCATAGTCTATGCTTTCAGTTGATCTCAGTAATCTTCCATTCTGATGACATGGCCAAACCAGTTCAGCAGCTGATCTTCTAGGACCTTCTTTGAGTAGACTCCCAGCTCTTCCATGATCCTTTCATCGCTGATGCAGTCTCTTCTTGTTCTCCCCACGATCCTTCGTAGAAAACATATCCCCGTAGCTGTCACTCTGGTTTTCTGTTTATCTGCTAGTATTCAGCTCTAAGCTCCGTAAAGGAGTACAGGCAGATACACTGACTTAAAGATGTGTTGTTTTGCCTTTCTACCCACCTCTCGCTAGTTAATAACAGTATTGCATGTCTGGTAGTATACAGCGTTTTCCTGACTAATCCTGTGTAAGATTTCTAAATCTACTTTCCCAGACCGTTATATAACGTTCCACTGTTCCAAGATATGTGAGGAATCTGAGAAAACTTCAATTTTTTCTCCATTACAAAACACCTCAACATCTTCCTGTATCCTTCCTACCTGAAGGATCTTGTTTTTGCTAATATTTTTCTTTTCTAATTTGCTATAAAATTTCTTTTCTACGGAGCTCTTCGTACCATTCCGTCAATATCAGCTGTAACTTTTCCGCAGAATCTACTTTGAGAATAATATTATCCGTATATAAAAGAAACTGGATTACCACGGGAACAAATTTTCCGGCCCAGAAACGTCCTGTTGATTCGCCTTTTGCAGACTGCCTCGATCTCATCCATTTATAGCATGAATACAAAAGGCCAAGACTTTCTAATCTTTTTGGGTCAAACAAGGGGGGCGGTTACCCCTCGATATGTTAAAATACCCAGATTCTTGACCATTTAGTTTGTAGCTCCTACCAGGCTTCTTGGAACGTTTTGAACTCTTAATACTTCCCATATCCAATTCTTTGGGCCCAAGTCGAATGCTGCCCGAAGGTTAAAAAAGGCAAGATACACATTTTTATCATGATCCAGGATTTCTGTAGTAGATTTTTGAGAGATAATATATGGTCCTGAGTTTGTCGTCCTGGTCGAAAACCAGCTTGATCCTTTCTTATGAGCGGCTTAACCAGAGGTTTTTCAATCTAACTTCAATGATAGAGATAAATAATTTCTACACCACTGCAGACAGGCATGTGGGTCTCTAGTTGGAGCATCTGTGTGCCAAGCCAACCTCCCTTATAATAATATCCTTTTAGCCTGTCTCGTCAACGCTCAGTCGCTCCTTGCCCATTTCAATGAATTTTATGATTTTTTCCTTCACAAATTTTATCATTTAATTGCAGTCTCTGAAACCTGGAAAAATCCCTCAATCCCGACTTCTCAGATATCCCTACCCAACTATACTCTCCTTCGTCATGACAGAGTGGACCGAACGGGTGGTGGCTAGGGTCTATTTGTTCATGACAGTCATAAATCGAAAATCTTCGATTGCACTTCTACCGATTCTCCTCACCTCGAAAATCTGTTTGCTGAAATCCTCACCACCTCGTCTTCCCTTCTCTTTGCTGTCGTCTACCGCCCTCCTAGAATTCCTTTTGGCCTAGTATTTGATACTACGCTTTACAAACTAATCCCGTCCTACTCCAACGTTATTCTATCCGAAGACTTCAATACCAATTTACTAATCCCATCCTCTAGTTATTCTCACCTAACAACCGTCCTTGATTCCATTGGCCTCTACATAGTGCTTTATAATCCAACTTGCCATACAAAGATCTTGGAGTCCTGGCTCAGTCTGTTTATCTTAGGTTCCACAGACAAACTCCTTGCCGCATCTCAGCACCCGGTCCCATTTCTATCTTCCCATGATCTTATCCAGTTTACCTGCAATATAATGGTTCCAATTTTTTCTCTCCGCAGTATATCATTTCGAAACCTCAATTCCCTAACATATGAAATCCTCTCGCATAATCTCGACGCTATCCAATGGGACTCCACCTATCACTCAAACTCTATTGATACCATGACAGAATCCCGTACCATTCACCTTCATACCATCCTAGACCATCATGCTCCTCATATAACAAAAACAATCCGGCATACTCCCGTCCCTTGGCTAACACCTGCTCTGAGAGAATGTATGAGAAGAAGAGATGCTGCCAGACGGCGGTTCAAAAGAATTCGCCTTCCTGAAGATTATATCTTCTTCAAAATACTCCGAAACAGCATTCAATCTGCAATACGCTGCGCCAAATCCCTTCACTTCCACCAATCCCTGTTCAGCACTTTAAATTCCAAAACCAAGTGAGCTATCCTCCGTACATTCTCCTTAGGCAAACCCACCCAAACCCAGTCTATCCCTATCTCAGCTGAAGTACTCATTACTCACTTTGTCTCCTCCCCCTCCCATTCCTCTTTCTATTACCAGGTCCGACTCCCATTCTTTTTTTCTCATATTACTCCCGATGACCTTCTTAATTCCATTCGTAAATCCCAAACCAATGATTTGGACCAAACAACATCCCGGTTAAATTGATTAAATCCTCACTTCCCTCGATTCACCCTGTCCTTTAACATATTTATAACTTTTAGTTGCAAAGTTCCACTTTTCCCAACACCTGGAAAACTGCTCTTGTCCGTCCGCTGGATAAAACCTCCAATCCTGCAACCCCTAATGATTTTCGCCCAATATCCCTATTATCTAACCTTTCCAAACCTCTAGAACGATTAGTTCAATCCAAATTATCTCACTATCTCGAGAAAAATAACCTTTTGAACTACAACCAATCCGGTTTTAGACCTGATTACTCCACCCATTCCGCCTTCATTAAAATCTCCCAAGATCTCCATACAGCTACAGAACAACAGAAACTCACCACACTTATTCTCCTTGATTTTTCCAAAGCATTTGACTCTGCAGATCACAATATACTCCTTACCAAACTTTAAAATATCTACTTTTCTTCTAGTGTCCTTAAATGGTTCCAATGCTTCCTCACCAGTCATTCCTAGTATGTTGTAGTTCCTAATAATCCCCCATAAGAGTCTCTACCCTTATCCAGAGGCGTTCCCCAGGGTCCTCCTAATCTCCTACCGTTTTTTCCGTCTATATCAATGACCTTCCATCATCTATCCTGCATTGTCAATACCACCTGTATGCCAATGACTTCCAAATTTACCATTCCTTCGGTCCGGCTGATTCCACTGCAGCAATCTCAAAATTTCAGGAAGATATGGAGAGAATCTGTCTTGGGCAAACCGCAATAGGCTCACCCTAAAGAAGACGAAAGCTATCCTTATCGGATCCCGCTTACTCATAAAATCCAATCCTATAACTACCAATTTTCTTCTAAATAACTCAACTATTTCGTTCCAAACTTCCGCTAAAAACCTTGTTATTTTTTATCAAACCCTCTCCTGGAAACCACACATCTCCCAAATTTTCCGTCGTTCAACCCTAAAACAGTTCAACCGTCAACGCTATCTACTTCCATACAAAACCCGTCAACTCGTGGTTTCCTCCCTTCCTCCCTTCTAACTTCGACTATAGTTGTATGGTATACGGTGGACTCTCGGGAGAACTCGAAGCCAAACTTAAACGCCTAAAGAATTGCTCGATACTCTTTATCTTCAGATTCTATCCCTTCCGATATCCGACGTGCACAATCAGTTTCTTCATTTAAATCTCTCCTTTTTATGTGCCAACTCCTTTCCGACTGATCACGAAATGTACATAAGAGAACTTCTTCAGATCTCCCAGAAACCATGGTTTTTACTTATGTTATTTTAATTTCCTTTGTTTAGTCTATATATATATATATATATATATATATGACATATCTCATGTCTGTATGCCAATATATATATATATATATATATATATATATTCGGTTGGCACTACAGACCATGAAGATCTATGGCTGCGAAATATGGTCTCCTTACAGACGTGTGATACTTGCGGGAGCTCAGATAGCCTGGAGGGGGTCGCCCAACCTCACGTTGCTACGAACCATGGTTTCCATGGTGCAGCGGCAGGCCACCCGTAGCTCTATAGCCGATCCCTTTGGAGCCAATCTGGCAATGTCCTTCTCACTGACTTTCTCGGGTTCAAGGACAGTGACAAATCGGTCTAGATCCATGGATTATGGTTGCTCGGAGTCAGCAGGCGCACGAGGACCTATATTTCTTTCCCCGAAACAGACCGTCCATGGACCGAACCTTAGGGGGGCTATTAACATCCTGGTAAACCACATCCCTATTCTCGATTTAAGTATACGGGGTAGGGTCATCAGTCTTACGCTCGGTCG